GCCAGGTCATGAGTGCATTTCCATTGTTACCTCCTCCTTTGTTTTTCTCTTAACAATCCTTCCCGCCCACCTCCACAACTGTGGCTCAAATGACCTAACAGCTTTAAGGGAGAGTGACCTGGCCCTGAGTTCAAGCTACAATACAGAAAGAACAACAATAAAACCACATCAACAAGAGAAATTAAATAACAATGTATTTGGAGAAGAATCAGAAACTCTATTAAGCTGGTCCTCAGTTTGATATATTTCATGGAATTTTCATCCTGTGAAACAAATACTGAAATAGCTATTCATTATTGGTTCATGATATTAATTTGAAGATTGTTAACAAAGGAAATATTTAGTGTAATTAGTAATATAATCTGAAAAGGACTTGACACATTTTAAATAATTCTTTTAAAAACTATTTAAAATATTTGTTTACATATTACTGTTTGTCACATCAGTTTAATATTTTGCCACCAGAGGAGGATTTATTAAAAAAAATTCTGCATCCAAAATGGCTAATATCTGTGCTTTTATTTCATGGAAATTATTATTGTGTAATATTTATTTTATCAATAAAATTCCTTGTTAATATGGAGCCTTCTATTTCATATAAAAGATTTACCCACAAGCAATAAAATGAGATAACCTCATTCTCCTCATAAGACTCTACTGTACATTGTTATTTGTTTTCATTTTAACTAATTTCATATGTTTTTAGGAGAAGGTGTTCAGAATTTTTTGTTGATAACTCAACCAGTCTCATATATTAGGGAGCACCACGCTGTGAACGTAAGATCAAATGTGCTTTTGATTCAAAAGTATCGAATACCTTACCAAAAGTTCTCCCATGGATTAAAAAAAAATTCTTTTGTTGTTGTTGGTGGTGGGTTTTAGTTTTCCCACTTCAAACAGGCACAAAGAAAAGGAAATTTCCTTGACAGTAAGTAATCAATCAGAAACAGCCCTAGGAATATAGGCACAACATAAACAGGTTCTTTATGGATAATTGCCTATAGTGGAAATTGGTGCTAACTGCACAATGTCTTTATTGTTGCTTCTTTTGGTCTTGCATATTTGCAAAATATTTTTGTGGTATAAACATCTGTTTGCTTTGCTTGTAGTTATAATGGTGACAACAGAAAGAAGTTAGAGGTTTTTAATTTCTTGGCTATACTTTTCCAAATGTGAAGATAAAGCCATAAAAAAGACATCATAGTGGAGACAGATATCTGACTCCCTCTAATACGTATTTCATATACATTAGAAAGACCTCGGCCATTCAAGAGATAGCTACAGTGTGTAGTGGAGAACTTTCAAAAATGATCAATAGAGCATAAATTTTATTAGCAAATGTTATTATGATCATAAAGTTTAACTCATATACTTACAAAAAGGATAAATTTCACAGTTGTTTCTGAAGCAAAGCCATAAGTCTAACTTTTCTTTGTGCGGTGACTTTACCTTGTTCCCTCTCTGTGATTCCAAAGTGGTTTTATTTCTATCATTTGAATATTGTCACAACACTATGTATTTTATACATATTTATGTTTGCAAATATTTATGTATACTTGTGGCACAGTATACATCTCTCAATATGTGATTTCCTGAGGGAAAGATGCTCAAATTTTCAATGTGGTTGACATATCTCTCAGAGATAAGTGAGAATCGTTGATAAGATATGAATAACTAGAAGTGAAAGAAAGGTACTCCTGCAACTTGTAATTCTCAACAATGGCTCATAGAAAGTCTCCAAAGACAGCTTCTTGTGCCAATTCCCCAGGCTGAGATAAAGCACAGCACTCCTCAAGACCCAGAACATACTGTGAGAACAATCCCAGAAGTTAAAAATGAGTGGAAATGTATAACAAACATTGTGGAGGAAAAAAGAAAACTAAGTGACAAAAAGACCCATGGTTACAGGGTTTCAATGGGAAGGTCTGAGGCATAAAATGAAGGCTCAGAGGGTCTTTTAGGACTGTGAAATTATTCTGTAAGACATTATATATTATATAATCTGTAAGACATTTTCCAAAATCAACAGATGTACAACCCAATGTGAATTAGGGGCTGTTTGTTTGGACACACTTAGTAAAAGATCAGCAGGAGAAACTGTCCCATGGAACCATGCAGAACCTTACTCTAAATTAAGGGTTTTAACTAACAAAATTTACCAATACTAGGACATCAGTGGGAACAAATGTGTCATGCTAATATTGGATCATCAACGATTTCAATTTTTGTTGTATAGAAATCTACTTGTATCTCCCAGTAAATCCTCTATAATTTGTTCAGGTTTATAATGTTCCTCTCATGGATAAACCAGAACTGAGAATACCGCTACTATGCCTTTGTGACTCACTATTTATGATTGTTAGACTTAGCTGCATGAAGTCTATCAACATTTATCCCTGCTCTGTAGGAGAACATTTTTCTCATGATGGCTGAAGTTAAGAAATGGTAACTCTTTACCCTATTGGCAAAGAAAATAAAGCCCAGGTGTCGGAACAGAATCATTAAGATTTTATTTAATAAAACTGTATGTTTCAGTGGTTCTGGAATGTGCTAATGGGGGATGTTTATGTGGCTAGGCTCTGAAATTTGAGCTAGGTTCTGATCTTAATTTGCTTACCTTGCAGTGCATGCTAAAGGGAATGATGTGAGCATAAGAACCTAAAAGTTGAGCCAGGGCAAGCAAGCCCACTACAGACCTCTACACTCAGGGAAGATAATTTGTCCAAGAAGTTCTCAAGTCTAGGATCAGTTTCAGATGAATGAGAAAACATGCTCAGCCATATTGACTAAAGAAACAAGTAAATATTTGATGATGAAAAGTAATCCAAAATATTCCAGATACTTAAAACTTTGCTCTATGATTATATGAAATTTTATTTACACAAGGAAATAGCAGAAGCATGAATGGTTTAAGAATTTAGTAAATATGGGGCTGGGAAGTTGGCTCAGTGGTAGAGCGCATGTCTTGCATGCCAGAGGTCCTTGGTTCAATTCCTCAGCACCACATAAGCAAAAAGAAAAAAGCTGGAAGTGGTACTGTGGTTCAAGTGGTAGAGTGCTAGCCTTGAGCTGAAGAGCTAAGGGACAGCGCCCAGGCCCAGAGTTCAGGCCCCATGACCGGACCCTCCCAAAAAAAAGAATTTAGTAAATAATAGTATATAACTGAAAACTAGTGACCATTTATGAAATGAAATCACATTTATTTAAAACAGATATTCCTACTATTCAACTGAATGGCATATCTATAGCCGTAATTCATTACAGTGTAACTAACCAGATAAATGTCCACATAGATCTTGAACAGCAAAATATCCTCCAATATGTGATCCGACTACTATATGGTACTAACAAGAAAGACTCTCCAGAGTACTAAAAACTTAAGCTTATTTTTCCTCAATAAAAACTCTTAAAACAAATTTAGTTCAGCTCCCCTAAAGCAAATGCAAGTTTGTCATAAAAATGTTCATGAAACCTAAAGCGAAATGGAAGCCTTCTCTTGTACAGGTAAGAAAGAATCAAAGAATCAAAATCTGAGCTATACAGATGTGTTTTTATCCAGGAATCCTATATCAAAACACCACTAATACTTTAGATTACTTACAGTTTATCATTAAAAAGATAGCATATAAAAATAATACAAATAAAAAGAAATAGTATCTAATTTGCTCACATCTCATATCCCTTGCAGGATTCTACCTTCAACTGTAAAATGTATCTTTTAGAAAGTAATTGTTATCTCTGAGAATCCTTTTATTCTTTATATCCACACTATTTTATTTATTTATTATTGTCAAGGTGATGGACAGAGGGGTTACAGTTACATAAGTAAGGTAATAAGTACATTTCTTGTTGAACTTGTTACTCCCTCCCTCAATTTTCTCCCATTATCCCTCCCTCCTAATCCCCCCACCAAGTTGTACAGAGTATTTCCAACATTCTGCCAGCTCAAACAAACTGATTTAAGAAATCTACTAAGCTACAGGAAAACCAAACACCTCAAGCAAACCAGAGACTCCACCAAGAGACTAGATATGGACACAGGGGACAGACAAGATACCCTATCTAAATCAAATAATTCTCTTTTTTCTATTTAACTTAAAAAATGTTTTTCTACTTTTTCCCCTTTTTTTCTTTGTTTTTTCCCTCCCTTTTTCCTTTTGGTTCTTTATTCTTTTTTTTTTTTGCTGTACTTAATCATTGTTTTGTTCATCCCCAGACACGTGTCCATCTTTGATTATTAGACCTTATCCTTTATTGTGTGCAAACTTAATTCAGACATCCATTCCTTAATTCACAATTTCTCTACCTTAGTTCCTTTCATTGTAGTACGATTTCATTATACTTTATATTTTTAACATTTTTGATTTATACATTTTTTCTCTTTCCCTTTTTCTTTTTGTTTCTTCTTTCTCTAGTTTTCCACTCTCTGAATTTAGGTCTTAGTTATCTACCATCTCTTCCTTTCTCTCCCTACATGGCTCTAATCTTATTTTCTCCTCATAATTCTCCCTATATGTATTAATTTCTGGTCCCCTGACTCCTTCTCTGATTTTCTTAATCCATTGATCCCTAGTTGTCTGTTGTTGAACTAGATTGTATCTGCACTCATTTTGACTGTGTCAAAAAATCTATAAAACTACAGGGCTCTGGGTTAATGCTTGCCTTAAAATAGTGTTCTAGCTCAGAACTGGTTTGCTTTCATACCCAAATAGCAGAACAAGCCATGGAAATACAAGAAAAAGGGAAAGTCAAGGAACCTCATCTCCCACTCATATATGCAATAGAGCAGTTAATGAATAATCCAGAGGAGAGTCCTCAAAGTGCTCTACAACAGATGCTGGAGGATGTGTCCAAAAGGGAACCCTACTGCACTATTGGTGGGAATGTAAACTTGTTCAACCACTCTGGAAAGCAGTATGGAGATTCCTCAAAAGACTCCATCTAGAGCTCCCCTAAGACCCAGCAATCCCACTTCTGGGTATTTCCCAAATTATCACAAACAAGACCATAGTAAAGCTACCAGCACAAATCTGTATATTTCAGCCTTGTTCACCATAGCTAGAATATGGAACCAACCCAGTTGCACCTCACTAGTTGAATGGATCAAGAAAATGTGGAATATACATACATATACATACATACATACATATAATGGAATTCTATGCCTCCATCAGAAAGAATGACATTGCCCAATTTATTAGGAAATGGAAACACTTGGGAAAAAATATATTAAGTGAAGTAAGCCAGGCCCAAAGAAACATAGGTCCTATGGTTTCCCTTATTTGCAATAACTAGTATATGTCTGAGTCAAGCAGAAAAGGTCAGGTAAGTTAATGTTAGGGAAATGAACCCTAAGATATGTGTTCCAATGTTTTTTTCTTTCATGCAATTGTCTCTCCCTACTTTTCTGAGAAGTTTCTCACACAAGAACTCTAACACACTTGGCTGAAAAATATCTAAGGAATGAAGTCATTTATAGAGAAGTTCAAAGGCCTGTTTTTTCCAGCTATTGGAGGGAAAACAGGGTGGTGCCACAGTTCCATAAACTTGCCCAAAGCCAGAAGTATGACACATTTCTCTGTCTACTTTGCTGGAATTCTCTATGGGCCCATTATAATTTGGGTTGGTGGGCCCGGCACTCACTGATAATACCCAATGCATTTGTCTTGCCCTAGGAAGGGATACAGAAACACTCATCTATTTCTGTTCATATTGGTCTCCATCTCCTAGACTGGCTTGATAACTTTTTATGTACATAGCTTATCCAAATGTGTACATTTTAATAAAATAGTACAATGTTCAGGGTTGCTATATTTTTATTTTTGTCGGTTGTGGGGCCTGAACTCTGGGCCTGGGCACTGTCCCTCTGCTCTTCAGCTCAAGACTAGTGCCCTACCACTTGAGCCACAGCACCAGTTGCTGCTCTTTCTGCTTATGTGGTGCTGAGGAATCGAACCCAGGGCCTCATGCATGCAAGGCAAGCACTCTATTACTGAGCCAACTTCCCAGCCGATCAGGGTTATTTTGAAGGACAGGAATAATAATTTAGACATGACAGTACTGTTATTCTAACCACACCATAGTTCATCTACATCCTGAATGCAAACACACACACCCACATACATAAATTTTCTTTTTTTATTGTTGTTGTTGTTTTTGTTTTTTGAAAATACCATACAGAGGGGTTACAATTTGTCACACATCTACCAAATATTCACTGGACAGTGCAGCAAGCCTAAGAAGTTATAATTTTTATTAAGTATTTTTTAATAATAGCAAGGGAACATGATTATATGATGATTCCATCAAAGGGAAAATATTGAGATTTTAAAAATATTGCCATTTTACACAGTTTATTATTTAAAATACCTATTATAAAATCATATTTAAGAAAAGACTAATTTCAGACATTATTGTGGAAAAAAATGAAAATGGGAGGCAGTAATTTGGAAATATATATCTGTTCATACAAGTAGTGTTCTAACAAGTAGTGTTCTCTGCTGGAGGAAAGTGAGAGACAATGGAAGGATCAAAGATGACATGAGTAGGAGCCAAGGAATTCAATTTAATGCCTTTGTCATTTACTGAATAGAAATGAGAAGACATAGGTATTTTTATGAGTCTTTTGATGTTTGCTCTCAATTCCCAAATTATTTGTTAGTTCAGTATCTTCCTATCCCAATAGTTTGCTAACAATATTTGGGAAAAATTCTCACTGACTTTTCATTCACATTTTGTCTCCTATTCATTTTTTTTAGTTTTTAATATTATTTTATTGTCAAGGTGATGTAGGTGGTGTTACAATAACATATGTAAGGTAATGAGTATATTTCTTATTGAACATTGTTTTCTTGTTTTTTCTTCCACTTTCCTTCTTTTCAACTTCCCTTCCTGCCAAGCTGTAAAGTTCTTTGTATAGCTAATTTCTTGTATAGATGTTAGGTTAAATAACATATGTGGATTTGTAGCTTTGTGCAGTTCAAACTTCTTATATTATACTTGGTAAACTAAAATATGAAAAACATTCACTCAAAGTCACAAACAGAGGAATGGGGATTTTTAAAATATCTATCAACATCTACCATAAAACCTCAGTAACCAAAATGGCATTCTTATTCATTCATAGTGAGCCTCTGTCACTGAACATAATCATATATATATATGGCTTGCTTAAAGAGTAGAACTGTTATCTTTAACAAGAGTTATGAACTAATTTACATGTACCTTCTTTTCATTCAGGAAATAATTCTAGAATAAGAGTAATCCATACAAAAGTTTCTGTATCCAAGTTGAAACAAGTTTAGTAAGGATGTGAGGAAGGTTATTATTTTCATAGATACTGTCATTCTGACTCATTTCCAGAACATTTCTATCTAAATGAAATGATTCCTTCTATGCTACATAAAAGCAAAATCAAATAAAAACAAAACAACACAAAACAACAACAAAAAATGTTCCTAAGACACAGGAAAGGAACCTATAGGTAGCTCAGGGTATAATTAAACTGCCTAACATAATGGTGTGAACATTTAAAAAAATACTTAAAATGAATAGCCAATAAGTGTGTCATTTACCAATGGAAATCAATCACTAATATTTGATTGCTAATAAAATGGAAATTTATTGCTAACTGAAATTCTTTACCTTTTGAAATACTGATGAACTTGTCTAAAGCCTGGCATCACTATGTTCTTAATTTTTGTTTTAATGAGTTTCGTTAAACATCTTCAACACTTTACAGAGTTTCAAAAAGAAAAACAACTAGATTAACCATATCCTATATTTGCATTTATGGTAGGTGAGCATTAGTTAGAACTTAATGTGTAATTATTTAATTAATGCACCAATATTATTTTTGAAGATATTATTTGAGGAGTTTCAATGGAACATTAATTTTCATAATTGTATATTATCTATATTACCTATATCAATATATTAATGACATTATCACATGTGTTAACAAGAAATTTGGACCAATATTTGGAAATTATCATTTCTTCCTGCCTGGAAATAAGGGTGATTGCACTTAGAAATGATTCCTCCACAATAATAATTTCTTTATCCAGAAATTCCACCCCTCCCATTCTCACTGAATGTCAGTGCCTTCTTTTCTGTAAAGGTGTACATTTTTTAAAGCTTTGGTATTGAATTTCATTGAATTAGCATTCTTTAATATTAATATAGTTCCACCTACTGATTTTATACTAAGAAAAAAATGATATTTGTGTGACAAATTCACACACACATACACATACATATACCAACTGTGTATATTCTTTTAAAATTGAAATGATGAGATTGTAAGTTGAGTCACTAGACAGGAAGAAGTGCTGAACTGGTAGACATCGTTCTCTTTTTATGATGTTTTCCAATTTGGATGATTAACTCTCTGCAGTCAAAGTTTTCCCTAATTGTTTCTGCTTGGTTTCCCTTGCCTGTGGTGCAGGGGGTTGTATATTGAAGAGGATGGAGCATCAGTATTTTGATCACAGCTATTGAGCCTTTGTGTCAAACAGGATTTCTCTGGGTGAAATGATGAGAGTGTGAGCTCAATGCTCACACAGTGATGAATGGGATTTTATAGTATGACCTATTTTTGGTAATAATATTATGGTGCTTTCCATATTATCCTACTTACCCCAACATGCATAAAGGTAGAGAATACTCCACAGAGAGAGAACCTAATAATTTAAATATATTATAATAAGAAACTGTATTTTAATAGTAGTTTTACACAGATTTAATTTAGGGATAAACAAAGATTTAATTTAGGATGTTTGAATTTTCTGCAGTGTATATCTTAGCATTTTCAGAGTAATAGTATATATCATTGAAGAATTCTTAGCATATTTATTTTGCATTACTATGCATATTAAAGTGCAACCAAGTAGAACAGTAATCAATACTATGGTGGCACTCATATTTTTAATTCATGCTAGACTGTCTGGAAATGGTTTATATTTAATATTATACAGAAGTTAATAATGGATGATATTCATAAATATGCTCATCTGGGAATTATATTTAGCTAGTGCTTGAATTTCAACATAATCAAGCAGCTTAACTCTGCAAAACACATGATTTCTCTAATAATACTGCATGGAAAAGTCTAATGTGCTTTCTAACTCCTTCTAACAGGGGTTGGGACAAAGCATGTAAGATTCCAAAAAAGGGCTCAATATATTATTCATCCATTTCTTTATTTTTCTCACATTAATTTCAGTTAAAATTTTTTAATTAAATATACCAGTATTTCTTTTTTTGTCAACCATCAAAGAATAACAATCAAAGTAGAAACCTAAAAATAAAAATTATGATTAAAAGCTATCAATTACACATAAGCCTGACTGATTGATGAGCTACTTCAAGATCTATTACTGAGCATCATAAATTATTAGCACATTGTCTGCACCTGAACAATATTGGACAAAATTGATAATTAATCTTGAAGCTCAAAATCTCACTTCAGTGTTTTTTGGAGAAATATAAAGTAAAATCAAATGCCAAAAGATGAGAGAAAGACTACAAATTATGTGAGATAAATACCTCTAAATTAACATAGTGCTTTAAGGCAGTTTTGTAAATAATAATACAACTTCGGTGAAAAAGGAAAAATAAATTAGTAATTCAGAAATGATAAATTGATGTTTGTTAAACAGATTACATAGAATAGTCACATCACTGTAATATTTATAGTGCTTATATTAAAATCATTGTTTTTCATTAAAACTATATATATACATATATATGCATATATATAATACATACAGAAGCATACAAAGAAAATGCACACCTACATATAAAGGGGTATGTATATTTTATACAAGATACCATTTAAAGATTAAGCTTGCTTACATTTTAGCTGTACTCCAATTTTCACTTTTGAGTCAAGTTATGTATCAGAGTGTAATGCTATGGGCTTTATAATAAGAAACTTGACAGAGCTTTAAATATTCTAATGTTATTTGAGTGCCACTATAGTTAATTCTGTCATATACTGATAGCAAAATCAATAGTAAATTGTAACCTATGGATAACATGTGTTTGTCCACTTCTCTTACAGTTTTGATAGTTCATTATAGATTTTGACAACTTATTTTGCTTGATTCACTTTTAGAACTCAATCTTTATTTTTTTACTTCCCTGTATTGAGAGAAGGTATTTTCTATTTTAGTTTTTTATTTGTATCATTCGTTTTTCTATAGGAACATTGCATTTCCAGTTCAGTCCATAGGAGCACTAAGTTTGCTTGGGGAGTGATTTTTTTTTGTTTTTTTAATTGTCAAGGGGAGATACAGAGGAATTACAGTTACATAAGTAAGGTAGTGAGTACATTTCTTGTCAAACGTGTTACCCTTCTCTCATTTTTCTCCTTTTTTCCCTTCCCCACTCTTCCAAGTTGTACAGATCATTTCCAACATATTTTCTTCTGTATATTGCTGTTGCAATAGTCCTTTGTCTCACCATTCTGTTGTTCCCCTTCCTTTCCCTAATTCAAACAAATACATTTATATACAATACCAGGGTACCAGAGTCAAATAGAGTGACAGCAGGAGCTATACCATAGGGGGAAGCACATGCAAAGGAAACAAAAAAATCACACAGTACATTAACAAACAACAATAAAGAAAAACCTTTAGTGTCCATGTCTTAGAGTTCATTTCCATTACCTCCATTTTATATGGTAATATGTACATAGCTATTGTGCTATTTGGTTCATCTGCTAAGATTATCCTAGATGTATATTAATTTTTGTAAATAAGGGAAACCCTGGGGCCTATGTTTCTTTGGGTCTGGGTTACTTCACTTAATATGATTTTTTCCAAGTTTTTACATTTCTTTAAAAATGGGGCGGTGTCATTCTTTCTGATGAAAGCATAGAATTCATATATATATATATATATATAATTTTCTAAATCCATTCATCTACTGAGAGGCTTAATGAGGGACTTCTCTAAAGAGGAAATAAGAATGGCCAATAGATACATGAACAAATGCTCAAAGTCTCTGGCCATAAAAGAAATACAAATAAAAAACAACATTGAGATTCCACTTCTCCCCAGTTAGAAATCTAATAACAACAGATGCTGAAGGGGTATGGGACACATAGACTCCTGTGAGCCCGCCTAAGAATTTGTGTAATGTGTGAAGTTCATGTATGCTGGCAAAGGAGGAGAAAGGTCTTCCATAACCCTGCCAAAGATCTGGGATACCCAGCTGCAGCCTCCAGGCTGGAAGGAGGAAGCTCTTTCCCTATCTGGATGAAGGTCAGGATGCCCGGCCACGACCTTGGTGGAGGACATGGGGAAAGTGCCCTTCGTGCTCCCCCTGAATAATTCCATAGAGCAATGCATCTAGAACAATGCCTCTTTATCCCCTCGTGTGTTTCTAAGGGAGCCTACCTGCACCTTGCTTACTCTTTATAATTTTTGACCACATGGAACTGTTTCACCTTTGTTGAGAGCTCTTCCTGCTCACTGACTAAAGGTTGTTAACTCTCATTGTCTGCATCCCTGAAAAACTGTTTAGGGTTAACTTCTGTCTTGTGACTGTGCTGTAACTGCCCCGTGACTGAAGATTTGTCTTCTATACCTGTATGCTGTATATAAGCATGTGATGTCTCAATAAACTTTGTCCATACCGGGCTGGTGTTGTCCACTTTCTGCCTAGCAGGTACTGAGTTCCCAGGTCTCTCTGTGAGAAGAACAGAGGGGATGTGGCCAAAAGAGAACACTACTGCACTGTTGGTGGGATTATAAACTTGTTCAACCACTCTGGAAAGCAGTTCCACAAAAGACTCCACATAGAGCCTCCCTATGACCCAGCAATCCCATTTCTGGGCATTTACCCAAATTATCACAAACAAGGTCATAGTAAAGCTATCAGCACAACTCTATATTTCAGCCTTATTCACCATAGCTAAAATATGGAACCAATCTAGATGTCCCTCAGTAGATGAATGGATCAAGAAAATGTGATACAAGCCGGGCGCTGGTGGCTCATGCCTGTAATCCTGACTACTCAGGAGGCTGAGATCTGAGGATCTCCGTTCAAAGCCATCCCAGGCAGGAAAGTCTATGAGACTCTTATCTCCAATAAAACCACTAGAAAACTGGAAGTGGCTCTGTGGCTCAAGAGGTAGAGTGCTCACTTTGAGTTGAAGAGCATAGAGACAGCATCCAAGCCCAGAGTTCAAGCCCCACGACTGACCAAAAAAAAGAAAAAAGAAAATGTGATACAACACACACACACACACACAAACAAATACATACAATGGAATTCTAACACACACACACACACACACACACACACACAAATACATACAATGGAATTCTATTCTTCCATTAGAAAGAATGACACCATCCCTTTGTAAGGAAATGGAAAGACTTAGAAAAACTCATATTAAATGAAGTAAGCCAGACCCAAAGAAACATAGATCCCATGACTTCCCTTATTTGTGATGTTTTTAGGTAAGACTCTTAATATGGTTTGTGTCCAGTAGTTACACCTTTGAAGATAGATAATTATGTATATCAACATTAAAATTGTTATTTCTGACATGAGATTTTCAGTAGGGTATATTAATTGTACAAATGATTTTCCTTATACTATTTCCATATATTCATATTGAGATCTTGAGTTATTTATCCCTTCCCCTTTGTTTGTGCTGGTGTTGAGAGTTGAACTCAGGGCATGGGCACTATCCCTGATCTTTTCAGGTTAGTAGTGCTATTGTAGTTCTCTACCATTTGACCCACGTCTCCAATTGTGTGTGAGTGTGTGTGTGTATGTGTATGTGTATGTGTGTGGTTAATTGGACATAAGTGTGTCATGGATTTTCCTACTCAGTCTGGCTTTGAACCCCAATCCTCCGAGCTCAGCCTCCTAAGTAACTAAGATTACAGGCATGAGCCACCCACACTTAGATTATATTTCCCTTTTATTACTTTCTTGTCCCTTTTAAATTTTTTTTATTTTTCTCATTCTATTGTCATACCTACAAATAGTGTATTTTAACAATATTCACTCCTTAGTAGAAACTTTTTTCCCATTTTCCTTCAGTTAGTCACCCCCAAGTCTCTTTTACATTGTCATTTCACACACAGCATTGTTTTGGCATGTTTTGTTTATTTTAGTTCTAGATTACCTGTAAGAGAAAACATCTCTTGTATGAATTTGGGTTTGGTTTCTTTTGCATAACATGATGTTCTTTAACTGCCTTAAAGTTACCCACGGTGTGTTTCTGTGAACATCTTTATCTCAATGGATGTGTTGCTATCTAGTTAACCTCCTACAACTCTGTACATACAATTTCATTATTGGATTTTTTTCCTGTTACATCCAGTATAGTCTAAATTTCAAAGTAGGATTTTAATACTTTGAATCTACACTCTAATATCACTCTGGACCTATTTTGAACTAAACCACTAAACCTCATTCCAAAGTTATATTTGGATCTCTTTCCTTCATGCCTTTGCTAGCTGTGTTTAATTTACCTGGAGAGAAAGGCATAGGGTAGCGACCATCTGGATAAAATTCCAACAGAGTAATGGTCAAATGTCATCTCCTCTGAGATACTTCCCTCTCCTGATGAAGGAGAGTGCACTTGCCATTACTTTCTCATTAGTTTCACCAGGGTGACACAATGGCCTTACTCTGTGGGGACAGAATTGAATCACCCCTCCTTCAGGTACCAGCTGTGCAAACCTGAGCATATTAATTTACTCTATGGCTCCATTTCTTCTCCATAAATCTAGGTCACAATGATATTGCAGATCTATATTTTCTTATCCAATGGTGAAGTCCAAAAAACAGTGAAAGATGAAGACTTCTTTTCCAGCTCAGATGGCTACAGATTGTGTAAGTGACCTATACTTTTCTGCAAAGGAAAAAAAAACTTTTGAGCTAATCTTAATTATTAATTCATAAACTGCAGCAAAAAAATCATGTGTTAAATTGCAAGCTTTTCCTCCAGATGCTGCTGACCATTAGAAAATATCTTTTAGTGCCCTCAGATATTATGTGGCAAGTATATAGGACCAAAGAGCTGAAATCCTAAAGATTGTAGAGTAGACTCTGTTACCCTAATGGAAGATGTCTAATCAAAAACTTGTGTTCTATCCTGTCCCACATTTTCCAGACATTCACATAAAGAGTAAGATGAGTGCCTAGATTAGGCAGTCACTATCTACACAAATATGCCTTAATAATAAAACTGATGAAAAAAAACCTAATGTAAGTCTAATAGGATTTAACCCAGAATAAAGACAAACTCTGAACATAGGAACTGATATCCTCCATTGAAAAGCATTTTCAACCACATGAAGAAACATGAGAAAGACCCAAAGGGAGATTAGGTGTCAAATTCTCTATCAATCTGGGACCAGGAAGCTCAGGAAAATTCTCTGTGAAGCCATTTTCAATATTTTTACAGCTCCTGTTAAAAAGTTTCTGTGTTTTTCTCATACTCCTCAAATAGAATTTTTATTGGGCTCCTCCAAATTTCCATACATCAGTCAATCCGTAAGTGGGGCAGAGGGGAAACCTAAAGTGGTGCACAATTATCTAAGAATATACACATGGCATATGGCACTTGAAAAGCCTGAGGATGATAGATATGAGTTGCAGATTTTCCATCTAAAGACTTAAGGGTTTAGCTCCATAATTGGAGAATCAGAGACACTAAATTCAAGGGCAGATGGAGTTAATGAAAAAAAGAAAAGAGAAAAAAGTCCATCTATGTTTTTCCCAAGTACTTATGGACTGAAAGCTAAGTTTTCATGTACTAATTAGAGAATAAAATTACATATACATGTACACATCCCCATATATGGATTTGTCTACTCAGATTAAAGAAATATTATAGTTTTGGTGTCATATAAATAACAAATATTTACTTTTGCACATTCTTCAGGCCAGAAGTCTAAGACCAAGAAACCTGTAGTGCTGAACTCCTGTGACATCTGGGGTCTGGAGTCTGGATTGCAAATTACTTCTGCCTTACAGAGTCCTTTCCTCATTGCCTTCTCTAGTCATCGTTGTGGACAAGCGGGGTGGGAGCAGGAGGGGAGGGAGAGGAAAAGCTCTAGCACTTCTTCCTCTTCTTTCAAAGACACATTCATATTGTAAAATGATACTACCTGGCATCTCTTAACATTATATATTTTCATTGATTATTTTATTACTTTAAATAGTAGTAAACATGGTTTTGAATTCAATGTGTCAATTGGTGTATATAATACATGTTGATTAATATGTTAATTGGTGTATATAATACATGTTGATTAATATCCATCCTTCCATCATTCTCCTCTGCTACCAACTATAGCAACCCCACCCATCCCCCACGCTTCCTACCTCCATTTGCATGCATGCACATTGAGTGTCATGACTTATTCGCCCATCGTTATGTTTTAGAGTCTTCTATATCCAGAGAATTTCATGTGTGGGTTGGGGAGATAAAACCTATATCAATAATGTCAGGCAAAGATTCATTCAAGAACATTGGAGAATTCGTTAAGAATCTTTTTTTCCATCAGCTATTCTCCCTTCATCTTGTACTTAAGTCCCAACCAAAAAAAAAAAATCTAAAAACTAGTTTGACTTTAGGTATAGCAACCAAGTGATGGCCAAATGGCCCTATTGAGATATCATTATTTAATTGGGGTTAAATGAAAGTACAATACTCATATGTATTGAGTGTGATATAAGATCACAATTTGTCATGCTTACTTCAGGAAGGAGTCTATTACCTAGTTAATCAGAGAACATTGTAGAGGTATTTCCCAAAGGCTGTAGAAAATCCTTTGTCATTATCATTTTTTGGATATTATTTTCTCCATGTGAATATTTTAATCACTGATTTATTTTGTCAGCCTCTGAAGATGAAGGGGTCGCATTAACCAAGAGAATCTTAAGAAAAATATAGCTATAGATGTGGAACTAGAGCTATAGACGTTGAACTAAAGTGTTTGAGGAAATAATCTTTATTATAAAGAGTAATCTTTAACAGATTTTTCCTTTAAAGAAAAATTGCATATTATTTAATTTATTTTTACAAGGGACTTCTATCACAGAAAGAAATGTGGTAAGTGGTTTGAGTTTTCTTTGGACATTTGAGAAGTATATATTATTTTTCATGTACTATTTTTCAATAGTAATGTCCTACTCTCTGTACAGATTTTATATATCCTCTCTATCTTCCTCTCTCTTTTGTCCTCTATCTTCTCTCATCTCTGTCATTTTTTCCTTTGGACTAAATAGTTCCACTATGGTCTCTCTGTCCTCTGGCTTTCTTAGAACATGCAGCATTCTCTACCCAAAATGTTCAAATTTATAATTGGTGTTCTCTCTCTCTCTCTCTCTCCCTCTATCTCTCTCTATCTCTTCCCCCCACACACGATATTCCTACCTGATAGGTATGTGTTTGGGTAAACATAATTTTAAACAATGTTTACAGAACAATTTTCTAAAATGTATTTGGGGTATTTTAATATTTAATGTAAGATCAATTTCTCAATACTTTTAGATTTATTACAACTTTATCATTTATCTATCATCACCATCTAACATCTAAGTATCCAAACATAATAATATAGTTACAGAATTAGAAACTTTCCCAATTTACTAATCATTTTTAATAAGCCTATGTGTATGCATATGTACATATATGCAGCAGTTTAGTCTTGTCTGTACATAGTAAAATTGTTATTTTCGCGCAAATATTCAAATGTTCACATATGGCAAAAAAAACTCAAATATTTTTCCTTCTGAATTAAGTTGGTTGTGAGTTCAGTTCACAAGGCAAAATGTATAGCTGATTGTATATTAATCCTAACAAGTAAGCTGAGATACATAGCCTATGTAGGAAACCTAATCCTATAACTATACAGAACATACCACAACTTAACTTTCATTCATATAAGAAATATCTGGGGCTGGGAAGGTGGCTCAGTGGTAGAGCACTTGCCTTGCATGCATGAGGCCCTGGGTTCAATTCCTCAGCACCACCAATAAAAAAAATAAAGAAAAAAAAAGAAAAATCTATTTAACTAGATATGTCTACATTTATTGTAAGGCTAAGAAAGTCTAATTTATTCTTTCATTTCAAAGAACTGGATTTTGAAAATCTAAACTACAAAAAGTTTCATGAAACATCTGAAAAATAAGTGTGTATGAGAATAGAAGGCTGGACTCTGCTAGAAGTAGTATCTTATCCTCTACTTTTTCTCCATTTCCTTGTGCACATTAAATTCCTGATAACAGAGTAGGCAAGAACAAAGTTTTCAGTTATTGATGGACAGCTGTGATGTATGCATGCAGAAGATTGATCAATCTATACTTAATGAAAACATGAATCTCAGTATCTGTGCTGAGTTAAAAAAAAGCATTAGATTGTAAGGAGAACTTTTTTCTGTTCCATTAATTTTGAAGTGAATGGCAATTTCCCACATTTCTTATTCTACTGCATAAATTTTTTCATTAGAACAAACATAACAATTCACATAATGCACAGCTAGATGATTATTCAATTTTATGGGCAGCTATCCTGCATTTTAATATTTATATAATATTTAAAAATAAGTTTCCACTCTACCTCTAATTTCTTTTATGAAACAGCTTATTCATAGTAAAAGCATTTAATAGTTTTCCAAACTTAACAAGAATAAGTAAGACATACCCAATTTGGAGGAAAATCTCTATAACATACAATTTTTTTGTTAGATTTTAAAATCCCATTTTTACTTACTAATAGATGGGAGGAATTTCAGCCTGCTCTCTATTGTTGCC